TCTGTTTCTACGCACTGACGCTACTCTGCCGCCGTTCTACGTTCTTGTGTACGTAGACGACCTTGTCTTTGCTACTGCTGACACGGAGGCACTCGCCCACGTGAAGTCCGAGCTGCAGAAGAGACACACGTGCACAGACCTGGGTGAGCTGACAAGCTATCTTGGCTTGCGGATCACCCGGGACAGAGCACAGCGCACCATTACCTTGACTCAGTCACACATGGTGCAGCAGGTCCTTCAGCGCTTCGGCTTCACCTACTCCTCGCCACAGTCCACTCCTCTGCCTACCGGTCACTCGCTCTCAACTCCACCTTCGGACGAGTCCGTCGAGCCGAGTGGCCCGTATCCAGAGCTTGTGGGCTGCCTCATGTACCTGATGACTTGCACACGACCTGAACTCGCATACCCTCTCAGCCTTCTGGCTCGCTACGTGGCTCCCGGCAGGCACCGAAAGGTGCACTGGGATGCTGCGAAGAGGGTGTTGCGATACTTGAGTACATCGGGCATGGGGCTCGTGCTTGGAGGACGGGCTCGAGTTGTCCTCACTGGTCACGCTGACGCCTCCTGGGTTGACGACTTGGCTACGCAGCGGTCGTCACAGGGTTACACCTTCAGCCTTGGCTCCGGTTCTGTCTCCTGGCGGTCTACCCGCTCTTCTTCTGTTCTCAGCTCCAGTTGTGAGGCTGAGATCTACGCTGGGGCCATGGCTACACAGGAGCTTCGCTGGCTCACCTACCTGCTGACCGACTTGGGAGAGGCGCCTCGTTCTCCTCCAGTTCTGTACGTCGACAACAAGGCCATGCTGGCCTTGTGTCAGGAGTACAGACTGGAGCACAGAACGAAGCACATTGCTCTGCGCTACTTCCTTGCTCGAGAGTTGCAGCAGCGTGGTCAGCTTCGTCTTGCTTACGTGGCCTCTCAGGCCAACACTGCTGATGTCTTCACCAACGCACTTCAGCCTTGTGATCATCAGCGTTTCTGTACTGTGTTAGGCCTTGTACCTACTGTGCCTCACTTGTTGACTTCTTGACTCTGCTTGTACTGTACTCTATATACTTATACCTGCATGCTTACACTTGCTAGGTTGTGTTCACTGTATTGTTTGCTTTCCTTTATATAACTCTGCATGTGAACTGGCCTTCTGGCCCTTTGCTTGTGCTCAGACTGTGTGGTGACTTTGTGATCCACCCTGAGTTTGCTTTGTCTTTCTTGACTGGTCTTGTGACCCCTTGTTCTCCCCCACTTTGCCTATGGGGGTGTGTCAAACATATATTTACTATAGTCGGTCTAGGTTGTAGTGGGGTAGTCCTTAGAGGGTACAACACTTATGTGTTTCCTACTTGTACCCTTGTCATTTCCTAATCCAATCATTCTTTCGTCTATCATTCTCACATAGTCCCCACTGTGCGCGTTGAGAAAATCTTCCGGCTCTTGCAGTGTGTGGGCGATACTGTACCATGCAGCCGAAAACTCTTAACATTTTTGTGCTGCCCTGTTTTCCTGTCCACAGCAGGTGCAGTGATGCGTTGTTCGGTAGTGATGACGACGAAAGCAAGTTGTGCAGCATGACAGCGTGGTCCATCGCCGCAGGCCATTGGTGATTGGGCAGTCGCATGCCACGCTGTAATTTGCGCATGGTGTTCTGGAGAGTTCGATTCATCCGTTCTGCCACGCCTTGCTGTTGATGGGCGTAGGGAAGCAAGATGAGCCTCTTGATTCCTCTTTCTGCCAAGTACTGCTTGAACCTCTGTGAGGTGTATTCTCCTCCTCCGTCTGAATGAAAGCTTTTTAGTTTCACGCCTGATTCTCGTTCTGCTACTGGGAGCCAAGCAACAAAGGCCTCGAAAGCCATGTCCTTGCTCGGAAGGTTAAGGTGCTAAACGTAACGCGTAGCGGCATCGATGAACGTGATGGTGTAGCTGTATGCTCCTTGTCCAGGTTCGCGATTGTACAGGATGTCGCTGTACACTTTCTCAAGTGGTGCGTAAGTTGGTGCGCTGGGGTTGTGGTGAGAAGTGAATGGCCAATGTGGTAAGTCAGCTTCGGGGCAGGTAAAGCACGTTCCACGAGCTCGTCGAAGTTCGCTTCCATCGGTTAGGAGCAGTGAATCTTTGTCGAGTACTCCTGCTCTTATTGTGTTGTTTAACACCGTGTTACTTGGATGTCCCATTCGTGCGTGCCAGATGTCTTCGCCAGCTCGATGTCCGGGTGAACGACGGTACAAGTCGGAGTTGGAGTAGAAGCTTGCGGTGAAGTTTGCGCTTCGATGTACTTCTCGTGGTGTTGGGTTAAGCTGTTGCGCAGGAGTCGGTGGAGTGTCGTCGATTGGAGCCGATGCAGTTGAAGGACCAGCGATTGGTGTCGATGTTGCCGCTGCTGCTGCCGTTGTTTCTGCTGCTGCCGATGTTGTCTCTGCTACTGCCGATGTTGTCTCTGCTGCTGCCGATGTTGTCTCTGCTACTGCCGAGTCTTGAATTCTTGCTAATGCTCTTGTTCGTTCTGCCTCAGGGATGGTGTGCGAATATCAGAAGCCTTCTGGACTGAAGTCGGGGTCGAGATCCGGTGGATGTGTCCAGGAGGTGAAAGTGACAATCCCGTCGCTGTCAGCGGTGCCAAGATCTGGGACGAAGTCGAGAACGAAGACGTTGTTTTTCAGGACCGCCTTCCCGATGTAGAGACCGCCTTTCCCGTTATATAACTTGAACTCCTGAGTGGTGCTATCTGCTTCAAGGTGTATGCCCTTCGCCATCAGTTGACTGACGCTTAGTAGGTTGTAACCGAGCCCTTCTTCTATTAAAACCTTCGACATCTGCAGTATGACGTTTGTCTCTCGTGACTGAAGTTGCACTACGCCTTGTCGTCGTGTGCGCATGTTCTGATTGTTGGCGACGGTGATGACGACCTCGCGTTGAAGTTCGTGTTCGCGTTGAACAAAACGTCCTGAAGAGCACATGTGTTGTCCGCAGCAACTGTCCAAGAACCAGGTATCCTTCCCAGACGGTTCGCTTTGGCCGATGGCTGCGTACGTTGGGTTCGGTGGCAGTGTTTCTCGACGTGGAGTCCTTTCGTCGAGTTGTTCTTCTGGTGAGTAGTGCGGCGGCGATTCAGTGATGCAGGAGTCGGTCAATCTTGTCATGCAGCTGACGATGTTCCTTGTTCCTTGTGCAGGTTGTCTCGTCGACGTTGTTGGCGTTTGAACTTGAGTGGTGAAATTTGCTTGCGTTGAGGCGACTTGACTGCTTGAAGGTCGAAGCTGCCGTTGCGTTGGTACTGACTGTTGTCGGTTAGGGCATTGTGTGCGGGGATGACCTGACGTTTTGCAGAGATGACAAAACGGAGGTACGGGTTGTTGACCTTGGTACTTGTTTTGCCAATGGTTGTTGTTGTTGTAGCGTCGTTGAGTGTGGAAAGCGAACTCGAACACTGACGTCTTCCTCTTGTGTTTTTCTTCTTGTAGGTCCATGTCTTGCTGTTCGGCGTGAATTTCAGCGCACAATGCTGCTTCAGAGATCTTCCCATGAGCTCGGAGTATGGCGCGAGTGGAGCGCCAATGAGGACCAAGACCGCCAATGACGACTGTGACGAAGGCGTCTTCTGATATCGACCCTCCGCATCGAAGGAGTTTGTCGCGCAATTCGCGACAGCGGCTGATATACGCCATCCCTTTTTCGCCCGGTTTCATTTCCACTGTTGTCAGTTGTGCCATTAACCGACTCTGATTGACGCTGTCTGTTGCCTGATACAGGTTCTTCAGGTGATTGTAAGTGAGCTCGGCGGAGTTTCCGTATCCTCGGTAAGACCGAATGTTCTGCTGCTGGTTCGGTGTGACGTTGCGCAGTAGAATTGTATACGCCATCATAGATTGATACGTATACTGCTGTTTGTCGTATTGCGTGCCGTTTGTTGGATATGGCAGGGACCCATCGAAGAAGCCAAGAATCTGCGCGCCTTCCATCATCAGTTCGAATTCGAATGACCAGGTAAAGAAGTCCTTTCCGTCGAATGGTCTTGACGTCTGCAGTTTTAAAACGTGCGCAAACTGCGATTGAACTTGAAGTGCATCTAGTGTCTTCTCTTGCTCAGGTGAAGGCTGCTGGCGCGGCATGAAGCTGACGGAGCCGCGCTGAGGTTCGTACGGGGCGAAGGTAGGTTGTTGCTGATTTCCTCGTGCGTAGGATGAACCATCGAGGCTCATCGGCATTGCGTTGTTGTTGTTGCTGTTGTTTGACTGTGCAGGTGCCCCTTGCTGGTGTTGTTCGTAGAAGGACATGAAGGAGAAGAATTTCTCCATCATGTCTGGGTCGAAGGCCGCGGCTTGATTTGTAGGAGTTTCTGAAGACGTTGCTCTTGGTCTTGTTGCCGTACCCTCCTCTGTCTGTAGGCCAGAGGCAGGTGGTGGAGTAGGAGTAGTACCGGGAGAGCCGTTAGAGGAGCTTCTCTCCTTCTGCGTTGCCATGCCTTGTGATGTTGTGGGTGTCTTGATTGTAGTTGAATTTGTCCTGATAGCTCTCATACCATGTTGGGCTGAGAAAAGCCCTTAGGATCTTTGCAGGACTAAATTCAGATTAGGACAATGTAATAGCGGAAGCGTTAAATAAGAACTTTGTGAACCACCTTGCGCTAGTATGTGAGGGCAAAGTAGATTGATTAAAACAAAGGGATACAAGCTTTTATAAGAGTACAAGGAATACGAAGAGATATAGTTAATAACCGTTTTGATGTTGCTGTTGCGGTTCGATACAGTGACGACTCGGGCAACTGCTCAATAGCGAGTCAGTTGTTTGTCCTTGCTGTCGCGCTGTATTTGTCAGGTCAAAGGTCGCTGACCTTTGACTTTCGCATAACCTCCAGCAGTTGTTCAACCTCCGAGGGTTGACTCGCTAATGCTTCGATATGTTTCGCTTCGCTTCTGACTTGGTGATTCGACACGACAGAAGCGCTTATTCAACTGTTTCCAACAAATGGCACCCCATGGTCAGATAATGGGACACTTTTTTTTGTTAATCCTGCACTGGTAGTACCACTCGTGTCTGTAGACCCACCCTCGCTTGTGCCACTTCCTGAATCAGTAGACCCACCATCACCGCCAGCATCACTACCACTAACACCACATCACCTCCACCACCACCACCACCATCACCACCAGTGCCACCACTCTCCCCACCCCCACCCACTTTGTCACCCACTTTCTGCGCCTCACTCGCCGCTCGAGCAGCCGCCTGCTGCCTCACCACAGCCTCCTTGGCAGCTAACTTTGCTGCCGCCTTGGCCGCAACCAACACCCGCTTCACTTGCTCCACCTCCGTCTGCTTCTCCCACTTCAACCCCAGAGCATCCGTGGCTTCAGCCCACTTCACCGCACTCAACCTCTCATCACTCCGGCAAGCTCAGCGAGAGCCTCTGTCGTGGCCGTGCTTGCTTACGAGAGAGCACTACGAGCGGCGGTGCTTGATCGCTGAGGGACGTCCACCCCCCCCCCCCCCCCCAAAAAAAATTGAGATAGTGGGGAAGCGAATGTGTGGGTGCGGTCCGAGAGAAGATCGTAGGCTCTGATAACCAAGTGTTACGAGTGCAATGGAGTGAGTGAGCGAGGATTGCACTATCGAGGCAAGAATACAATGAGCGAAGAATATATAGCGAAGCTACAGTGGTAACGGTAACGTGTGGGAAATGGGGTGCGCGACGGGCCTGGTGCCGAGGTTCGGGGACTGTCGAGGCGGAGGTCCGGAGCGCGGGTTACCAACCGAACCGTGAGGTTGGGTCGCATCGTGAACAGTGGCGGGAATGGGGTCGAGGCGAATGTCGCGAGTGGTAACGGGATATTGTGGGGTGCTGTTGGCGGGAACAGTGGTGTACGCGCTGAGCAGGGACGCGAAGTAAGGAAAAGTGATTTTCCCTACACCAGACCAAGATACATATCGTACAACCTATCAGCCTATCGACAAAAATATAGCAAATAACAAAATATTCATTACAAATTTGTAGTATCAGCCGCCGACATCCACCTTCCTGTTTCTTGTGTTACCCTCTTTGTTGCCGCCACCACTCCCGGCAACACCATCAGTAAAGGCCACTTTAACACTTACACTTACCCCATGATCAGATAAGGGAACACTTTGTTTTGTTAATCCTGCACTGGTACCACTGCTTGTGTCACTAGACCCACCCTCGTTTGTGTCACCTCCTGGATCAGTAGAACTACCATCACCACCAGCATCACCACCAGAATCACCACCACTATCACCACCAGCATCACCACCTGTTCCACCACCTGCACCACCCCCACCCACTTTGTCACCCACTTTCTGCGCCTCACTCGCCGCTCGAGCAGCCGCCTGCTGCCTCACCACAGCCTCCTTGGCAGCTAACTTTGCTGCCGCCTTAGCCGCAACCAACGCCCGCTTCACTTGCTCCACCTCCGTCTGCTTCTCCCACTTCAACCCCAGCGCATCCGCGGCTTCAGCCCACTTCACCGCACTCAACCTCTCATCACCGGCGTCCACCGCCTCCCGTGCCGCCGCCTCCGCTGCAGCCTGCGCTTCCCCTGCCTCCCTCGCCGCATCCTCCGCCTGACTCTTAGCTAAAACCAGCCGATCCACCTCAGCATCCGCCTGTTGCTTAGCCTCCAGTGCTTTATCCGCTGCAGCCTGCTTCTCTGCCGCAGCAGCCGCGGCAGCGCTGGCCTTTTCAGCCATCTGGGCAAGCCGGGCCGCAGCCACCCTCTCTCTAAACGTCCTCTTCTTCTCCTCCTTTTGCTCCTTGGCTGCATCCCGCTCGGCCCGAGCTGCATTCTTCCGGGCCGTCCCCCGCCTCTTCTTATCCTCTAGCTCCGGTTTGCTCCTCTCTGCTTCATCCACAAGCTCCTGCCGCTTCTCCTCCACTGCGTTCGCAGCCTCCGCAGCAGCTTCCTCTTTCCCATCTGCCTCCTCTCTCGCCTGGTCTGCTCTAGCCCTCGCAGTGTTTGCGTCTTTCTGCGCTTGCTTCGCCTCCTCCCGCCTCTTCTTCCCGCTCGTCCCACCCCTAGAATTCTTGGCTTCTCTTGCCTTTTTGTCAGCCCGTGCTTGAGCTGCCTCTGCGTCTTTCTCCCTCTGCTGGGCTATCGCGTTGGCCTTTTCAGCATCAGCCTTAGCAGCCTCAGCTGCTTGAGCGGCCTTCTGTTAGTCCCGCTTTTTCTGCTCCAGGGGAGAGAGCTCCTTCTCAGGTGGAGGTGGGGGAGGGGGCGTCTCAGGTTCTTCTTCAGATTCACCTGAATCCCCATCGTCTGAGTCATCTCCTCCTCCACTCTCCCCACCTTCCCCTCCCTCCTCACCACCTCCTCCCTCATCCCCTTCCTCTCCATTTCCCCCATCCTCTCCGCTTCCTCCCTCCCCTCCGCTTCCCCCTTCTTCTCCGCCTCCCCCCTCCTCTCCGCCTCCCCCCTCCTCTCCGCTTCCCCCCTCCCCTCCGCTTCCCCCCGCCTCTCCGCCTCCCCCCTCCCCTACACTCCCCCCTTCCTCTCCGCTTCCCCCCACCTCTCCGCTTACCCCATCACTCCCTCCCTCTCCCCCTTCCCCTGCTCCTCCTTCCGAAGGTTCCTGTGAACCTTCCCCTGACCCTGACGAATCATTTGGTGGAGCACCACCAGAGGTTTCATCTCCACCTGGATTGTCCACGTCAGCTGGCGGCGGAGGTGGAGCTACATCTCCTGGGAGTGTCGTGTCTTCGTTCGCCGGCGGAGGTGGAGTTGCATCTCCGGTATTTTCGGTTCCATCTCCAGGAGTTTCATCTGCCGAAACGCTTCCGTCCGTTGATGTTGCTTCGCCAGTTTCAGTTTCATCACCTGGTGCTGCTGTATCAGAAGTTCCCGTACCATCCGTTCCCGTTTCATCCGTTCCCGTATCATCCGTCGTATCATCCGTTCCCGTAGCATCCGTTCCCGTAGCATCCGTTCCCGTATCAGTCGTTCCCATATCAGCCGTCCCCGAATCAGCCGTCCCTGAATCAGTCGTCCCCGAATCAGCTGTTCCCGAATCAGCCGTCCCCGAATCAGCCGTTCCCGAATCAGCCGTCCCCGAATCAGCCGTCCCCGAATCAGCCGTCCCCGAGTCAGCCGTTCCCGAATCGGCCGTTCCCGAATCGGCCGTCCCCGAATCAGCCGTCCCCGAACCAGCCGTCCCCGAATCAGCCGTTCCCGAATCGGCCGTCCCCGTATCAGTCGTTCCCGAATCAGTCGTTCCCGTTTGAGGCGTTCCCGAGGCAGGGGTCGTGCCACCCGCATCAGCGTCGCAACCCTCTTCGTCGCTACCATCGTTACAGTCGCTCGTGCCGTCGCACATGCGACTCTCTTCGTAACACTGCACGCCGTCGTCGCACTTGCTCCACCCGGTGGAGCACTCGTAGGTCGCGCAGAAAGCGGAGTCTTCGTCGGAAGGCGCGTCCGCGTCGCTGCAGTTCGGCGCTCCGTCGCACACCTGCGTGTCACTTATGCACTCGTCGGTCGTCGCACACACGAACTGCGACGGAGGGCAGCGAAAGGTGCAGGAAGAGGGGGAAGGGAAGTTTCAGGTCGATGTTTTAGGCTTGGAACTCCTGCGTGTCTCAGATGCACTCGTCTGTTGTCGCGCGCACGAAATGTATTCGGAGCAAAGCAGAGGAGAGCAGAGCAGAGCACACGAACTTTGGTATCAATAGCAACTCCCAGCATCCCGCAGCGGCGCAATACGCACCAGAGAATCGTCGTCAGGACATGCATCCAGCGCCGCAGCTCCAGTTACCAGCATCACGATCATTGCAAGCGTCGCCAGCAGCGAGAATAACGCGAATGATCTCGCTAGCCGTACACTTCCAAGCCCCATTCTGGCCCTTGACATGCTATTCACCCGTGCAGGGTTGCGCGCATTCTCGTGGGGCGTGATCTTCGCGGCGATTGATTACTACCCACTAAGCTAGGCCCTCGCGACCGCAACTAGTCTTGTTCGGACACGAAGCTGTGTTCTGAAAACCAGAGCGAACGCGTTAGGGAAAAGGGGAGTGAGACAGGAGACCCGAAGAGCAACAGAGGGAAGAGGGAGGTGTCCCCCTTGAGGCGGGGAAGGTGGGGCTTTCCCCGCTTGTAGCTGTCCTTGTGCTGGATACAATAGTGCATTCCGCATTGCATTCTGGTGCAGTTACAGTACGATCACACCAGGTTAACTTACTGGAACGCACAAAACCATGGAGTTTGCTACAATGACCACTTTGCATCACATAAAAAATCGAGTGACCAGTTGGGCATTTCCTGGCACACGATGCGATTCGAGAAGTCATGTTGAGTTGCTGCGCTGTTTGTCAACTCTGACCAGACAAGTCTTGGCTGGCTGGATGTGGTTGGAAGGGGGGTGCGTGTGGCGGCGATCGAATGGTTATGGCGAAAGCAGACAGCCCACGTTCGATCTTTTGACAAAACTCGCGCAGTGAAATTCTGCATTTTGCGAATTGTTTTGGCAAGGGGGTAGACAGGTGTAGGTGAACAGCAGATATCCACGTCAGCAGGTACAGCTGAAGCAGGTGGATTGTAGCTCAGGCGAAACGCAGGTGAATCTCAAGTATACGGCATACAGGCAACTCAATCCGCCAATGATTCTCCCTAACAATTTTCACAAGAAAACGAAGTATAAACATTTTTTTCAAAGCGCAAATACTAGTATCCCATATCACATCGTTGCATTCGGATCAGTTGGTTTCGCACAACTGTGCCCGCCATTATCAGCCCCGAAATTCCCCGAACGGATTTCGAAGCGCCAATAGCTCGCAGCATACAAGGGCGTGCGGCGAACAATAACTACCTTTTAATCCGCTCTTATGGCGTGTGCGATCTCCGCGCATCCCGCAAACAATCTCTGCCCCCAAACCCTGAACCCTCATTCCTCGCTCTCGCAGCGCGAAGTAACTCCTTCTCGCCTCGTTTCGTTTCCCGTTCACTTGCACACCAATGCGCTTCGCCGACCGCTCTCACGGCGCGACTATTTCCCTTCCTCTGACTCCCGTTATCGAAGCATCCGCCTAGCCTCCCGCCACTCAAGCCAAGGATTCTCTTCCATAGGACGTAAGCAATCTATGGCGGCGGTGCGAGCGCAATCAGCGGCGGATTCTGCGGGGGTGGAGTGGCTAGAGATAACGCAGCCCGACGACTGGCACCTGCACGTGCGGGATGGCGCTGCGCTGCAATCCGTTGTGCCGTTCAGGTGAGAGCTCGGGTGAAATCTCAGGTAGAACTTCAGGTGCCAGGTGTCTGTCTTCGTTTCAGAGAATCGCATGCACAATGCATGCACACCATCCCCCTCCTCTCTCCCCCTCTTGTTCCCCCTCTTTCCCCCTGCTCCCCATTTCTTCCCCTCTCTCCCCCTTTCTCCACCCTTCCTCCATCCTTCCCCCCCTTCCCCTCTTCCCCTCCTCTTCCCCTCTCCCCCACCTTCCCCTCCTCGTCCCCCCTACCCCCTTCCCCGCAGCGCGGCCGTCTTCCACCGAGCAGTAATCATGCCCAACCTGCGCCCACCGGTCACCACTGCACTGGCAGCAGCAGAGTACCGCGAGCGGGTGCTGGCAGCGGTGCCTGAGGGGAGGCGAGGGGAGGAGGGCTTTAAGCCGCTCATGACGCTGTACCTTACCGATGACACCACACCGGAAGAGGTGCAGAGAGCAAGTGAGTGCGCTGGGAGTGTGAGAGGAAAGGAGACAAGAGGGAGGCGAGGGGAGGGGGGCTTTAAGCCGCTCATGAACCTCTGTCTCACAGATGTCGCCACACCGCACAACACCACACCACACCACACCGCACTCTCTTTGCTCAGACTGCGCCTTGTTGAAATCACTCTCCTTCTCTTCCCCCCCTCTCCCTTCACCCCACATCCAGAGGACGGAGGCGTGGTGGTGGCGTTCAAGCTTTATCCCGCGGGAGCAACGACTTTGTTGTCAGTGCTGTCTCCCTTCCTCAGTCCCTCCCTCCCTCTCCCCGTCCCTCCCTCCCTCTCCCCGTCCCTCTCTCCTTCCTCCCTCTCTCTCCCTCAATCCCTCCTATATCCTGCTCTATTCCTCAACATAGGACGGAGGCCTAGTGGTGGCGTTCAAGCTGTACCCCGCGGGAGCGACGACCAACTCAGCAGCGGGAGTGACGGACCTATTTGGCCGCTGCTTCCCTGCCATAGAGCACATGGCGCACATTGGCATGCCGCTGCTGGTGAGTTGAGTTTGGGCATGTGATGTGAGAGGGTGAGTGGGGTTGGTGGTGGTGTTATCAATTCAGCAGCGGGGGTGACGGACCTATTTGGCTGCTGCTTCCCTGCCATAGAGCACATGGCGCACATTGGCATGCCGCTGCTGGTGAGTTGAGTTTGGGCATGTGATGTGAGAGGGTGAGTGGGGTTGGTGGTGGTGTTATCAATTCAGCAGCGGGGGTGACGGACCTATTTGGCTGCTGCTTCCCTGCCATAGAGCACATGGCGCACATTGGCATGCCGCTGCTGGTGAGTTGAGTTTGGGCATGTGATGTGAGAGGGTGAGTGGGGTTGGTGGTGGTGTTATCAATTCAGCAGCGGGGGTGACGGACCTATTTGGCTGCTGCTTCCCTGCCATAGAGCACATGGCGCACATTGGCATGCCGCTGCTGGTGAGTTGAGTTTGGGCATGTGATGTGAGAGGGTGAGTGGGGTTGGTGGTGGTGTTATCAATTCAGCAGCGGGGGTGACGGACCTATTTGGCTGCTGCTTCCCTGCCATAGAGCACATGGCGCACATTGGCATGCCGCTGCTGGTGAGTTGAGTTTGGGCATGTGATGTGAGAGGGTGAGTGGGGTTGGTGGTGGTGTTATCAATTCAGCAGCGGGGGTGACGGACCTATTTGGCTGCTGCTTCCCTGCCATAGAGCACATGGCGCACATTGGCATGCCGCTGCTGGTGAGTTGAGTTTGGGAGGGGGCAAGAAAGATTCCACTCACCGGGTGCTCTCGCCTCTGCTGTTAAGGAAGCCAACAGTCCAACCTTCCGTGTCCAACCCCCCTCCCTCCACTCCCAGCTGCATGGCGAGGTGGTGGACCGTGGACCCATGGTAGACATGTTCGACCGCAAGAAAGAGTTGATCCACCGTGAGAAAGAGTTGATCCACCGTGAGAAAGAGTTGATCCACCGTGAGAAAGAGTTGATCCACCGTGAGAAAGAGTTGATCCACCGTGAGAAAGAGTTGATCCACCGTGAGAAAGAGTTGATCCACCGTGAGAAAGAGTTGATCCACCGTGAGAAAGAGTTGATCCACCGTGAGAAAGAGTTGATCCACCGTGAGAAAGAGTTGATCCACCGTGAGAAAGAGTTGATCCACCGTGAGAAAGAGTTGATCCACCGTGAGAAAGAGTTGATCCACCGTGAGAAAGAGTTGATCCACCGTGAGAAAGAGTTGATCCACCGTGAGAAAGAGTTGATCCACCGTGAGAAAGAGTTGATCCACCGTGAGAAAGAGTTGATCCACCGTGAGAAAGAGTTGATCCACCGTGAGAAAGAGTTGATCCACCGGGAGAAAGAGTTGATCCACCGTGAGAAAGAGTTGATCCACCGTGAGAAAGAGTCGATCCACCGTGAGAAAGAGTCGATCCACCGTGAGAAAGAGTTGATCCACCGTGAGAAAGAGTTGATCCACCGTGAGAAAGAGTTGATCCACCGTGAGAAAGAGTCGATCCACCGTGAGAAAGAGTCGATCCACCGTGAGAAAGAGTTGATCCACCGTGAGAAAGACATGGTCCTCTCGCCCCTGCTGGCCCGCCTGCCCTCACATGCGGTCGACTTACCCTCTCCCACCCTCTCCTTCCCCACTCACTCCCCCCGCCCCTCTGTCTCCCCCATTGATTTTCTCAGCTGCACGGGGAGGTGGTCGACTCATCAGTCGACATGTTTGACCGCGAGAAGGAGTTCATCCATCGAGTCCTCTCGCCTCTGCTAGTCCACAGCACGTGCCTGTCCACTCCCTTCCTCTTTCCTTCCCCTTCCCACTCCCCCCCCCCCCAGCTCCATGGAGAAGTGGTGGACCCATCAGTCGACATGTTCGATCGCGAGAAGGAGTTCATCCATCGAGTGCTCTCGTCCCTCCTAGCCCGCCTGCCCACCCTGCGAGTGGTTCTAGAGCACGTCACCACCGCAGATGACCTCAACTTGCCCTCCCCCACTCTCTCCTCCCCCCCCCCCCCCACCCCTCCTTCTCTTTCGCCTCCCCTTAATTCTCTCAGCTGCATGGGGAGGTGGTGGATCCATCTGTCGACATGTTCGACCGCGAGAAGGAGTTCATCCATAAAGTCCTCTCGCCTCTGCTGGCCCGCCTGCCCACCCTCCGAGTGGTTCTCGAGCACGTCACCACGGCAGATGCAGTCGAGTTTGTGTTGAAAGCACCTGAGGGGCGGGTGGCGGCTACAGTGACGCCGCAGCACCTGCTGTGGAACCGCAACGCTCTGTTCACGGGGGGCATTCGCCCGCACCACTTCTGCTTGCCCGTGCTCAAGCGGGAGACCCACCGTAAGTTTCACAGACGAGGAGCACAGAACACAGTCAGGCACGCTGCAGATGTGGCCAGATGAAGGTCCGAGCGCGAGCAGAGAGACTTGTGCGGCACCCACTGCTCGCTGACGCTTGCGATGCTGTGGAACCTCAATGTGCTGTTTGCTGGGGGAATTCGGCCCCTCCCACTTGCGGTTCCTCGGCAGTTGCTGCCGAAAGGTTCACAAGGACTTTACCCGCACGACTTCTGCCTGCCTGTGCTTAAGAGGGAGACACACTGTGAGTCCCTGCGTGCCCTACCGCTTCCACTTCCTGAGTTTCGCCCTGCCCGTGCTTACCGGTAAGAGGGACAGGCCTGAGTGTCCGTGCTGGTGGAAGCAGTAAGGCATGCCATTCACCAGACGCGAACAGGTCTGACTGTGTCTGTGGTAAGCGATGAGAGACACACTGCAACACCACTCCCCACTCCCTCCTCCCCACTCTCGTCCCCCCTGCCCCGTTCCTCCTCACACCAGGCCAGGCGATAGTGGCAGCAGTGACGGGCGGCAGCACTCGTTTCTTTCTCGGCACCGACAGCGCGCCTCACGAGCGCACCACTAAGGAGGCGCCATGTGGCTGCGCCGGGATTTTCTCTGCGCACGCCGCCCTGCCTCTTTACGCCCGGGCGTTCGAGCAAGCAGGGGCACTGGACAAGCTAGAGGCATTCACCAGCTTCAACGGACCCGACTTCTACGGCCTGCCTCGCAACTCCCGCCGCATCACTCTCATCCGCCAGCCGTGGGCCGTGCCCGACTCGTACCCGTATGGGGAAGGCAATGGCTCCCTCGTGCCCATGCTGGCAGGCGAGCAGCTAGACTGGCAGGTGCTGCCGTTGGACAGCTGAACCAATCTCCAAACCTGACTTCGTTTCATGCCCCCCCACTCACTCTGCTTCACTGCCCATAAGCCGTACCCGACTCATACTCGTATGGGAATGGCTGTCCCCTCTGCCCATGCTGCCCGGGTAGCAACTAGAGTGGCAGGTCCTTTCTCTGGGCAGCTGAACCAAACTTACGATCTGATCCAAATCACACCCAGACCAAACTTACGATCTGATCCGAATCACACCCAGACCAAACTTACGATCTGATCCGAATCACACCCAGACCAAACTTACGATCTGATCCGAATCACACCCAGACCAAACTTGACTCATCCTATTGACACTGCTTCGCTGCCCGTGTGCCGCAGCCACTCCCAACTCGTTCCCAACTGCAATGGGGCCTCCTCCACCCACCCAGGCCCTGAAGCCATGCTCCTGGTGAGCAGCTGAAATGGCAGGTGCTGTGCTGCCTCTTGGTGCCTGATAAGGGGCAGTTATCTAGTTATGTCTTAATCCATTTCGCCAGCTGGGTACGGTATGACATGACATTAGAGTAGCACAGTAAAATTGACTCCCTGTGGTTTGTATACGGCACTATAGAGGAGCCTGTAGGGAGGTTACAGTATTACAGTGGATGGATACACTCTCACCTCTTGCCTTGTTTGTTAAACGGTAATGCTCGATAAGGTTGTTTCAACAACCTGCCAGTCATTTACTCAGGTGAGCTTTACGCAGCAGATCGAACTAGAAGATGCGTGTGTAGTATAATCCTACGCATTTCAGCACCATTAACCCTACGGCAGGGTGGTCAGTTTTCCCGCCCTTCAAATCAAGGCACCCTGATGGGAAGGGAAGCCTAGTAGTTGGCTTCGACAACATTTTCTGGTATTGTCCCGTCTGCTTCATACCCAGCTGTCAACACCAATGCACCACCATGTGCCGTTCCACCCCTGCTTGGCCCATCACAAATCCTTACAGCTGCAACTTACACCCCTATCTGCCCCATCCCACACGTATAGCGTCACGCCCTTGCCTGCCCCACCACCCTGTGCCCCTGAGCCGCCACGCCCCTCCCTGCCCCTGCCTGCAAAAAAAAAGCCCCTGTCTGCCTCATGACTGTGTGCCGTTTGATGAGCAGCAGCAGAAACACACCTCATGAGTCCACAGGCCCAGTTCTGAGGCGCCTCAGAAGGTCTGTCTACGCCCCCGCCTGCCCCCCCACAGACCTGCAGCCTTACGCCCCACCCTGCCCCATGACCCTATGCCCCTGCCAGCCCCATGACTCTCTGCCGTTTGATAAGCTGCAGCAGAAACACATTCCACGAGTCCACAGGCCCAGGCAGGCACCAGTGCAGGCAGTCCTGCGGGGGAGGATACCTGGCCTCTTTATCCTCCTCCCTGCGTTTCTCCAGCTCGGCAACACTGTTCAACTTTCTATATGGCCCTGGATGCCCGTCAACTCTCACCCCCGCACTGGGCATTATGTCCATCAGGCCAAACTGCCACTTGAACTCTTCTCCTAGTCCCTCCATAGCCTCGCTATAAGCAGCCCTCTGCTCATTATAAATCGCATTCCCGTACGAGTTCTTGTAGGTGTAGCCGCTGCCGCGAGGCTCGGCCAGGCCTGCACACGAGCCTCCAGTGTTCCACTGCCCGCCTTCGTAGTGGTCCGGGGAGTAGGTTCGGAAGACAAACAGCTGCTTCGGGTTCGCCTTGACAGCTGCAGCCACGTCAGCAAAGACGGTCCGAATGGCAATTGAGAAAGCAGCAGTGTTATTCAAAGGAACCTGTATATCGTTCTGTAAATCCTTCTGTGTGTCTTTCTGTGTATCCTGCAACTGTCTCCTACTGGCTGCTCTGTTGTTCACTGGAAGCTTTGAATCCACAGCCACTACCCTTCCCTCCTCCAACCTTCTCCGCTGCTCCACCTGTTGTTCCTGCCCACTACTCTCACCTCCCTTCCTTTCCAGCTGCTCCGCACTGCCTTCAGAACCACTCTCTTTCCCACTTTCTCCTCCTCCTCCCCCTCCCGCTCCCGCTCCCCCTCCTCCTCCTGCTCCTGCTCTCGTCTCCTCGCCATTCCCCACTCCTCCCCCTCCCTCCACCTCCTTCCCATGAGCCTCCCACCACCCGCCCTGTGACCCAACCACGCGTCCCCCCACCACAAACAGAGCAGGCTTAACAAACCAGTGCCCCGTGCACAGCACCACCACATCGTACCGCTCTACACCCCCCCACCACTTCTCCCCCGTCCTGTCCAGGTGCAGGCGCGGAAGGGTCGCAGGGGCGGAGGGCAGCGCGGAGGGGGGAGGGTCGGGGGACTCTTGGACGAGCCATGCGGACCAGATGCGCGCAATGGTGACCTTGGCGCGTGGGAAGACCATTCGGATCAGGTTCTTGTTGCCTCGCAGGTGGGGGTTCTCCACCTGGTGTTTTGATGGGAAAGGAGGGGAAGGGAAGGGAAGGGGAGGGAAGGGGAGGGGAAGGACTCAGGGGCTTTGAATCGAGCCATGCGGACTAGATGCGCGCAATGGTGACCTTGGCGCGCGGGAAGACCATTCGAATGATGCTCTTGCTGCCTCGCAGGTGGGGGGTTTCAACCTGGATTACCAGGGGCAGAGAAGGGAGAAGGGGACGTGTGAGGTTGGCGAGGGGGAAGACCATGCGGATCAGATTCTTGCTGGCAGGGGGGAAGTCCACGCAGTGTCCCCCGTCACTCACCTGACTGAGCAGGCAGATGAGCGACTCCATATGGTTCCGCGCTACAGAGTCGCCAACAAACAGCACGCTCTTCCCTCGCATCACGTGCATGAACTCCACCGCATCAAACCTCGTTAAAGGCCCAGAACCCCCCTGCCTCTCCCCTGAGTCTGTCCCACTGGCTCACCTGACTCAGCAGGCAGATCAAGGATTCCATGTGGTTCCGCGCCACCGAGTCACCCATGCTCTTCCCTCGCATCACATGCAAGAACTCCACCACGTCAAATCTCAGCAACGCCCCACACTCCACCTTCTCTCTGCCATGCATCACTCCCGCATCGCTCACCTGACTGAGCAGGCAAATGAGTGATTCCATGTGATTCCGCGCTACAGAGTCCCCCACGAACAGCACGCTCTTCCCTCTCATCAAATGCATGAACTCCACCGCATCAAACCGTGGCAGCGCCGCACACTCCTCCCGCCCCTCCGGCCGCCACCGCCACCGCTCGTACGCGCTGTCGGGCCGCCCGTTGCCCTGGCAGTTCTGGTGCTGCGAGATGGCAGCGCACGTGTTGTTGGTGTAGAGCGGCGGGTCCAAGTCTGGCTGCCACGTGCCGTGGTACATGTCACAGTCCGCGGGCACTGGGAACGGGAGGGGGGTCATTGACAAATAGAGAGCGGGAAGAGAGAGCTAAGGAATTCAGTTCAAGTCTGGCTGCCGTGCCGAGGTACAGGTCGCAGTCCGCGGGTACTGGGGGAGCGAGGCGGGGGAAGATGGGAGTGGGGTGGGATTGCGTGGGAGTGGGGGCGGGATTATCATCCCGAAGGTTGGCAATCGGAGAGGGGGGAGAACAAGCATGTGGGTTGGGTCTGCGTCTGGTCAGAACTCAGGTCGCAGTCGCAGGGGGTGGGGAATGGAGGCAGTGTGCCGCAGATTGGGGGGAAAGGGAAAGAGCGGAAGGAGGGGCAGTGGGGTTGTTTGAGATCCTGACTACCCCACTACCCCTCTGGGAAGCTTCAGAGTGACCTTTCGCTAGCATGGGCCAGGGTACGCAGGGCTGGGAAAGGAGGTGGTGCGGTGGAAAGGAGCTGTCTGCAAGCATACCGTCTAGATGGACCTTCTCTTTGATCTCCTCGTACTGCTGACGCTTCTTCCCCTTCCTCTTCCCCTTCCTCTTCTCCTTCTCGTTCTCCTCCTTCCTCTTCCCCTTCATCTCCTTCTCCTTCTCCACCTCCTTCTTCTTCTCCTCCCCCTTCTCCTCCCTTTTCCCCTCTTTATTATCCACCTCCTCCACCTCGATCCCCCTCTTCTCCTCTTTCCTCTCCTCTACCTCTTTCTCTCCTACGTGACGGCTTCCTCCCTCGCTCTCCACAACCACAATCCCATCATGCCGCCTCTCCAATGACTTCTGAGTTCCCTCAGAAAGCCTTGCCTCTCCCTGACCATCGCCGTTCCCTCCCTCTCTCATCCCCTCATGCCTCATACTAGTTCCCACTTCCATTCCATCGCTCCCTTCCCCGTTAACCTCACCCCTGCTCTCCGCCTTGCCTCCATCGCTCTCCGCTTTCCCTACATGGGACTCCGTCTTCTCTCCAAAGCTGCCCGCCTTCCTCTCCCCATTTGAGCCGTTTAATTCACCTCCCGCTTCGCCCCTATTTCGCCCAGGGTCGGGTAACCCGTCGTCGCCGTCGCCGCTCGCCTCCCCCACTCGCTCAACCGCTTTCTCTCGCTCTTTCTGGTTGGCACCCGTCACTGCCACGCTTTCACTGCTTTCTCCCAAACGTGAAACGGTTTCTTTGTCAGGCTCGCTATCCACGCGCTCACTCGCAGTTGCCAAGCCACCGTGCGACGCTTGCGACGGTAACAACGACGACGGCGAAGACTCGACGACGATCTCCGCTCGCCACGGCTGCCGTTCCACGGTCGGCCACCTCCCGCTCTCAGATCCGCTTCGACGCAGCAAACCCCAGACGAGCAAGCACGCGAGGAGCGGCAGCACGAGGAACGAAAGAATGCGTTTCGACTGGAATGCAAGGACGATCCACATGATCACGCGGCCTACGCCGTCTTCCCTTCGGGATTTAGTGCGTGGAAGGAGAGAGCCGGAAAAGGCGGCTGATCTTGGAGATTGGCTTCCCGTGAAGAAGGAATTGCACGACTCGCTGCGTTTTGGCATCTGATTGAGCGATCCTGACCGTTGAGCGATCTCCGCGAGGGCTTTCGAGAGGAATGTCATGGTTACGATTAAAAAACGCAGAGGTGTGCGGAGGTAGAGGTGAGGTAATGCACGGCTGAACGGTAAACGCCTAGAACGGCACTCAGGAAGGAGAAGGCGCGAAAGCCCTTTGCCGCTACATCCTGGGCCGCGGATTGAGAGGCCTTGCCGAAGCAGGTTCTAGGATTTTAGGAACGAAACGATGAACTCGACAAGGCTGTACTTTTCACAACTGACTACTTCTGAGCATTATTCCAAACCCAGGAATCAACGGTCGTTTAGCCAACGATCGGGACTTTCTAACGGAGCTCCGTCCCAGATCAGTCGCCTCGACGTGCAGATGTCTTGAATTCCGTGAGGCAGGAGAGACTGACTATGTAATAACTGCCATAACTTCCTGAGAAAAATGCGAGTGGTACGTAGAAAGACATAAGCCACAGAACCTCGCCGAGTCTAAAAAGGTATCTGGGCTTGAGGTTGGGCCTACAGCTAACCTCCAAATCATCCCAGCCTCGAGATTTGAGAGAACTACATAAAAACAAGGACGGCATTCTGCAGGATCTGTTGACCATCAGTGTGTTCCGGAATTGCTGACACAATCGAGGGAAGCTACAGTACATGAAATTCACTTCCCACCTAAACTTATTATTGGCTGGAAGTTTCTGACGTCGTCCGCCATGCAAACTCTCTGACACTGACACCAACTCGCTTCAGCGCGAACCGTGGAAGTGAAGAGCAAAATACAATCAAATCCAACTATACATCACAAGGAATCAATCAAATTAGCTGAGCACAGGTAACATTTGCACTTGCTCAGTACAAATGAAAGAAAATATTGTAATAGATGCACAATTTACATCTCACTGTGCAGCTGCTGGCAACAGAGGCGAATGCACAGGCGAGGACGACGATGACGTCATGGATGAATGTGGACTGCACATGCCATCAGCCGGTGACACTAGATGATGCTGACGTGGCATTGAAAACGCCTGCCTCAGCTGGATCTCCAGCCTTCTTGAACTCGCCGCATCTGACGGTTGAGATCGATCAACCGAACCTGGATGATGCTGCCTGGGCTGAAGAGTTGAAGTAGGCACCGAGGATTGGGCGGTGGAAGAGGAAGAGGACGAAGAGGCGGCACCCTGGGTGCGGGGAAGGGTGAGGTCGTCAGGTGCAGCAGCTACAGGGCTATCGATGGAACACAGAGACTGCACAGGATAGAGGGAGGAGGGCGGGAGGGGTCACAGAGAAAGAGAGAGTTTGGTGTATGAGAAAGAATGGCATGTGTGAAGGGTGAGGTTGCCAGGTGCAGCAGCTACAGGGTTATCGATGGAACACAGAGACAGCAGAACATGAACCCGGGAGAAAAAGGGAGAGGGGAGGTGAAACGGGGGGGAGTGGAGGAAGGAAAGTCGAAGAGAAGGTTGAGGTATGAGAAAAGTTGAAATGCAAGGAGCAACAGGTAAGGTCGTCAGGTGCAGAAGCAGCTTCGACATGGTCGTGGGGAACAAGGGCCACTGACTGACAGAAACCTAACCAGACAAACCGACCATTGAACCCCTTGCAACCGAACACCATCGCTTCTTACCTGCGAGCCGGTGAAGATGCTGGTGCCCGATTCGCCCTCCTCGCTGCCCTCCGACATGATCGTGGGAAACATGGGGCGGCGCAGAGATCCCGCCCCAACCAGACCAAACAAACAGTTCATTGAACCTCTTTCAATCGCACACCACCCCTACTTACCGGGGAGCCAGTGAAGCTGCTGGTGCCCGATTCGCCCTCCTCACTGCCCTCCGACATGATTGTGGGGAACATGGGGCGGCGTAGTGAGCCCACCCCTCTGCCCGAACAGACACACAAGCCAAACACAAGCCAAACACAAGCCATTGAACCAGTTCCAACCGCACACAACCCCTTCTTACCGGGGAGCCAGTGAAGCTGCTGGTGCCCGATTCGCCCTCCTCGCTGCCCTCCGACATGATTGTGGGGAACATGGGGCGGCGTAGTGAGCCTGCCCCTCTGCCCGCCCCCCTGGGCTGCACGGGCCATGCCGGTAGCACCCGTGGCTGTGGCTGTAGCGGGGGGAGCTGTGGCCGCGTGTGCTGCTGCTGCTGCTGCTGGGGTGGCTGTTGTGAGGGTGGTTGCGGGGATGGTTGTTGCTGCTGCTGCCTGCTCTGCTGATTCTGTTGACTCTGTTGACTCGGTTGACTTTGCTGACTCTGCTGGGCCTGTGTCCCCTGCTGCTGTAGCTGCTGCTGCTCCTGCCGAACCTGAGCTGGCGTGGACGATGACAACAATGATGAGGATGAACCCACCTCTCTCTCCTGCCTCTCCGCCTTCACATCCAATGCTGCTCCACCCGCTCCGCCGCCACCACTGCCCCCACCACCAGCCACCGCTGCCGCAGACGAACCCTCCTTGGCCCCAGGGGACCATAGCATCGCTTTCCCCTCACTCCCACCGCTACCCACACCACCACCGGCACCCCCACCACCCCCGGAAACCACTCCACTGGGAGACGAATTCAGCTCCAACGGCGGAGGCGGGAGGGCGTATAACTCAGTGACCTTGGGCGGGGAGAGCGCAGGAGCAGCCATAGCAGCATAATAGCTGTTACTTGGGCCGATTGGGCCGGATTTTATCAGCCTCTCTCCCCGCATGTGTCCCATGCCGCTGCTGTTGAAACCGCCACTGCCGCCGCCACCGCTGCCGCTGCTGCTACCACTAACGCCAGCACCAGTAAGACTTGGATTACCCACTGAGGAGAGAAAACCGCTGCCTCCATAGAACGAGCTGCGGGCTATGGGGCCACTCAGGGCCTTGCTGGGTAAACCACCCTGGAAAACAGGCGAGGCGCCAAACCCTAATCCGCTGCCACTGGGCCCAAACCCTAATCCGCCGCTACTGCCCCCAAACCCCAATCCGTCGCCCGGGCTGGTGTTAAAACCGTAAGCCGGGTGGGACAGGTAGCTTTGGCCTACACCCAGGCCTCCCGTTGAAACTCCCATTGAAACGCCTCCTGAAACCCCCCCTGAAACTCCAGGTGAAACACCCCCCATTGGAACTGCTGTGGCGACTGCAGGGCCTGCTCCCCCTGCTGCGCCGCCATAGGCATACCCGAGAGGGGCCCCGGCTGGAGTGGCAGCGGCGGCAGATGCTGCTGTGCCTGGGGCTTGGCTGGGGCCAGATTGGTGGGGTTTCATGGAAATAGGAGCTTGGAAAGGCATGGTGTTTTGAGAGGGCATGTGCGGTTGAGAGGGCATGGGTGGTTGGGTGGGCATAGGAGGTTGAAAGGGTACCGCTCCTAGAGTGCATGCCTGCTGGAGGCTGGATGAGAAGGCGGGTGCTGACGATGGGAGGTATGATGCGGAGGGAGGGTAGGAGGAAGAGGGAGGGTAGGACGCGGAGGGATCGTATAAAGGCAAGGCTGCTCCTGCTCCTCCTGCTCCTGCTCTTGCCACTCCTGCTGCTGCTGCCCCTGCTCCTGCTACCGATGCTCCTAACGCCGACCCGGTGCCAGCACCGCTGCCCCTCAGGATCGGCCCCGAATGGCTCACTCTCTTTGCTGGGGCGTGATGCACAGGCACGGCTGCACCACCAGTCAGCCCACCTGTAAAGCCCCTTGCCAAACCACCTGAAGGACCTCCTGTCAAACCACCTGCTGGGACTTCCCTGCTGGCAGAGCCAATGCTGAACCGCCCTCCCCCACTTCCACATGCTCCACCTGCCGAACCACCCGCCGAACCGCCTGCCGAGCCACCTGCAATGAATGCAGGACTGGCAGCAGGAACAGCTGTCGCAGCAGCAGGGGCTGTAGCAGAAGCAGCTCCTGCTGCAGCTTGTTCAACAGCAGAGGGGCGAGGAAGAGGGCCAGACATTTGCATGGCAAAGGGTCCCACGTGTGCTGCTCTCCCCCTCAACCCACCCCCACCCCCCGCTGCTGCTGCAACCACTGCAGCTGACAGCACGGGTGTTTGGAGCACAGAAGCAGCACCAGCAGCAGAAGCTGGAAGTGTTGTGTGAGTGAGAGTGGCAGCAGCAGCAGCAGCAGAAACAGGGACGGCCTGAGCATAAGCTGGGGCACTCCCAGAGGCATTGGCTGAAGCATTTCCTGGGGTATTGCCTGAAGCTCCAGGTGTTGCTGTTGCTGCTGCAGGAGCGGCGGCTGCAGCACTAGGAGCAGCAGCAACAGGAGCATGAGTGGCAACAGTGGCAGTGCTAGGGAGGGCAGACGGTGAGGGGATAGGCCCTGACTTGGAGCGAGAGTGGGGTTGGCTGTTAGAGGAGGAAGAGGAAAAGGAGGAGGGAATGACAAGGGTGGACGAGCCTACAGAGGAACTTTGCAGGTGTGTGTTTGCTCTCCCGATACGCATCTGCTGCCCCCTTTGCTGTTGCCCATGAGAATGCTGCTGCTGCTGCTGCTGCTGCTGCTGTTGCTGCTGTCTTGCTTGTTGTTGTTGGTGCTGCTGCGTCACTTGCTGCTGCTGCTGCTGCTGCTGCTGTGGCTGCCGGTGCTGCAGCTGTTGTGGCTGGGGATTCGCACCTGAGTTCTGGTTACCACCAGCGGCCGCGGTTACAGTGCTGCTGCTGTGGGGGCTGTCAGAGGACTTGCTTCGGGGAAAGCCAGGGTGCACCCGTTTCCTTGCCTGCTGCGGCAGCATCTGCTGCTGCTGCCCTTGCTGCTGCTGCTGTTGCTGCCTTACAGCTGCCTTATGCTGCTGCTGTTGCTGTTGCTGTTGCTGTTGCTGTTGCTGTTGCTGTTGCTGTTGCTGTTGCTGGTGGTGCTGCTGTTGTTGCTGCCCTAATGGTTGCTGCTGCTGCTGCCTTTGCTGTTGCACTAGCTGCTGCTGCTGCTGACCCTGATCTGTCTGTTGCTGCGCCACCCTTGCAGAACCAGATGCAGATGCTGCAGCTGTAGCGGAGGAAGACGGAGCAGCAGCAGCAGGCGCAGGGACAGCAGGGAGAGGCGCCAAGGACTCGCTTTCAGCTGATCTGTTACGGGGTAGAAGGGGCCGAGACGTGACAGAGCCGTCAGGGCGAACAACGGGCCTTAAAGGGGCTGAGTAGCTGCTCCTGCCTCTCCCTCTAGCCGCACTCTGTGCTGCTGCTGCCGCTGCGGTCACTGCTGCTGCTGCTGCTGCTGATGCTGTTGGTGCTGGGGCTATGGCCACTCCTGGGCCCGAAACAGTGGCGGGACCTGTGAAAGAAGGGTGTGCCGCAAAGGCAGCAGCAGCAGCAGATGCAGAAGCAACAGCTGGAGAGATGATAGCGGTGCTGCCGCTGCTGGTAATAGTGGCTTCGGTGGAGTGGGCGGGAGGAGGGGAGGGCAGGGGCGCGGACGTGGGGGGAGCGGGGAGTGGGGCCGAGGTGGGAAGCGAAGGCAAGGGGGCGGAGGTTGGGGGAGGGGGGAGCGTGGTGGATGTCTCTTGAGATGAGGTGACCTGCTCCACACTGCCTGCTGCCACGCCTCCCAAGTCATCATCCTCGTCATAATCATCCTCATCAACCGCACTAAGCAGCGCCACACCTCCCATCCCCAGCTCTTCCACCAGATACCCCATGATCCCATCCAGCTGCCCCAGCTGCAGCTGAGACCGTCTCAACAGCCTGCTCTTCGCCACGTGGTGTCTCACCACCTGAGAGAGAAGCGCCCTGGGCCGCCTCTGTTCTAAGGCAAGTATCCTGCACCCGAGAGTCATTGCTACTTCATCGAATTCCTCCTTGGCTGCTCGTTCCTCTTCGCCCATCTCCTCCTCTTCCTCGTCCTCCTCCCTCTCGCCTTCCTCTGGCTCGTGCCTGCCCCTGCCTCGCGCTGCCCCTCCTTCCCAGTCTGTCTCGCCAATTGCTGCTGCTCTTGCCACTGCCGCCCCCTCTCCTCCGCCTGCTACTGCTGCTGATGCGGAGCTAGCTCCGCCCCCACCCCCTCCGCCTCCCCCTCCCCCTCCCCCACTCCCCTCCCTGCCCCCGCCCACCACTCCAGAGCAACCTAGCCGTGTGGTGGCAGGGGATGGCAAGTGGGTGCGTGCTGCTGCTCTGGCTTCTGCATATGTGCGCCTGCAAGGGACACGTGTGACGGGAGCCGACAGGAGGGGGAGTTGGGAAGAAATATTATTTTCAGGCCCCTCCATATTCGTGGGTGCGTGCTGCTGCTCTGGCCTCGGCATATGTGCGACTGAAAGAGACATGTAAGAAGGAAATCCCAGGAGCGGGATGCGACAGGGAGATTGGTTGTGCACGGCGGGTGCGTGAGTGAGCCAATGAGCGTCAGTCAGAGATAGAGGACCAGACCAGACGCCCACATGGATGGGGAGGAACGGGTGATAGCACAGGAGGGTACTTTTGAGGCTCAGAAGAGGAGTCTACTTTTGAGGCTCAAAAGAGGAGTCTACTTTTGAGGCGCCTCAAAAGTTGGCATCAGTCAGAGATAGATGGCCAGACCAGACGTCCACAGGGATGGGGAGGAACGGATGATAGCACAGGAGGGCGTGCAAGCAGAGCAATGAGCGACTCACCTCTTTGCCTCATACAGCTTCCTTGTCTCCTGATCAAGCACACGGAGCGAAAAGAACAGGGAGAATGACGAGCACAATGAGGAGAAGGAAGGCAGACACAACACAGAGAAACGGAACAGAGCAAAGCACACATGGTGAGGGCGAGGTTCGGACAATGGGAGGCACATACAGGGCCAAGTCGCATGGAGTGAGGTGAGGGCCAAGGCACAGAGTGCACGAAACGAGGGCAGGATGAAACGGTGCTGCAAGGGATGAAACGGTGCTGCAAGGGATGAGAGCTGCAAGGGATGAAACGGTGCTGCAAGGGATGAGAGCTGCAAGGGGAGCGATAGCTATGGCCTGCGCTAGATGCATGGCCTGGTGCGCGCCTGCAAGGGAAGAGGCAGTTGCAAGGGGAGAGGCAGTTGCAAGGGGAGAGGCAGTTGCAAGGGGAGAGGCAGTTGCAAGGGGAGAGGCAGTTGCAAGGGGAGAGGCAGTTGCAAGGGGAGAGGCAGTTGCAAGGGGAGAGGCAGTTGCAAGGGGAGAGGCAGTTGCAAGGGAAGAGGCAGTTGCAAGGGGAGAGGCAGTTGCAAGGGGAGAGGCAGTTGCAAGGGGAGAGGCAGTTGCAAGGGGAGAGGCAGTTGCAAGGGAAGAGGCAGTTGCAAGGGGAGAGGCAGTTGCAAGGGGAGAGGCAGTTGCAAGGGGAGAGGCAGTTGCAAGGGGAGAGGCAGTTGCAAGGGGAGAGGCAGTTGCAAGGGGAGAGGCAGTTGCAAGGGGAGAGGCAGTTGCAAGGGAAGAGGCAGTTGCAAGGGAAGAGGAACCTCAGAAGCAGCGGGCTCAAAAGAGGTCGACTCAAAGACCATCCAGGCACGCACCTCCACTTGGTGAATTTCCACGAGAAGAGACTCCGTTGGCTCTGCTATGGCCTGGGCTAGATGCATGGCGCATGTGCACACATGGTAGATTTCCAACTCAACATTCCTAATTTCCAACCCAAAGAGAAAGACCATCCAGGCACGGACCTCCACTTGGTGGATTTCCACGAGTAGGGACTCGGTTGGCTCTGCTATGGCCTGGGCTAGATGCATGGCCTGGTGGGCGCACATGCACACACACGCACATAAACATGAATATGCACATTCACATTCACATGCACGTGCACACACACACCCACCCAACCACACATATCCGCACACATCCACACACACACACATCCACCCAACCACACCCATACAAAAACATGCATGCAGGAAAGTTAATCCGCGTACGCTCAGCAACACACGACCGACCAGGGGTCGTGCATGCATGCAAGGGATGGCATCAAGCATTGAATTGAAGCAACGGGGTGTGCTGCTGTGGGATGTGTGCGTACATAAATAGCACCAATAGTGGCAGAGCTGGCCGATGAGGTCCTCCATAGCACCCACATGTTCAAACACCCCGCACGATGCTTCAGGCGAGTGTGATGGGCGCATGTGCGCGCAGGAAAGGCGCCCAGATGCATGCATGTGTGTGTGTGTGTGTAATGCACGCGTACATAGTAATGGAAGAGCTGTCCGATGCGCTCCTCTACCACAGCCACATGCTGAAACACCTCGCCCACGTTCCCGTCCTCTATAGCGCCAAACGCGCCAGCCACAAACGAGGACAGCTGCCGAAACGCGTCGGAGAACTCTGAGAGGAAAACGAGTGGGGGGAGGAACGGCGAGCGGAAGAAATAGCAGAGGGGGAGTAAGGGCGACAGTGCATGTGCTGTGAGATGAGTGTGCCCAACATCCATCCACGCACCCATCCACCCATACACACACCTACCCACCCATCCATTCACCTGCGGCGCGCTGTTGCGCGTTGGCGACGAGAAACAGCAGCCCCTCGTACTTGTCGCGCATCTCGCGAACCTCCTGCGACAGGGACGGACGGGCGACAGCCAAAAGCAGGGTGACTTTTAAGGCGACTCAACAGTCACCCCCTGTCAGGGGGCTTATGGCCGACAGACGAAGGCAAGTACAGAGAAGGGTCTCATCGCCGGGGCTAAACGCAGAGTCAAGGTGAGTTCCGGAGAGTCAAGGTGAATCCAGGCGGGACGTGAAACGGGAAAGAGCTGCATAAACCGCGAGACGGTGTGCCTCGTGGTGATTTTGGACGCGAGACGATGGAGCTTGGAAAGACGTGAAGAAGTCAAGGTGACTATTGAGTCGACTCAAAAGTGAGGACGGCGCTAAGTGAGACGTGGGGAAATCTAGAAGCTTCTGCCATTGAGGAAACTCGTCGGGATGCGACCACGACAATACCAAACTATATCCAGGTGCAGAAATATTTTCCGAGTCGACTTGAAATGCAGTCTTACGCGGACGATTGAACTCGAACGTCGAAAGGACTCGAAGGTCGCAACGACGCGAAAGGGTCGCAAGGACTCGAACGTCGCAAGGACGCGACTGACCTGCATGCCGCGGCGGAACTCGTCCTCTATCGACGCCGTCTGCGGCGTCAGCGGCGGCATTTGAGTCGACTCAAAAATCACCTTGTTACAAGCACGCGACGTCGCAACGACGAGACGCGACTGACCTGCATGCCGCGTCGAAACTCGTCCTCTATCGACGCCGTCTGCGGCGTCAGCGGCGGGCCGAACGAATCGCCGTCGAGCGCGTCGCTATTTATCGACTTATCGAAGCTTCCTGGAACATCAACATCCACGTAAGGAGGGCCTCTACCGCTCTCCGCTCCACCCTCCTGGGCCTTCCCCTTCCCTCCCATCAGCTTCTTCCACTTCATCTTCTCGCTGTAATTAGAGGTACCCCAATACTTTGTCTGGTATTTCTTTCGCTAGAAGCACACCAGCCTCGACACCGAAACCGCGAAAACTACTACCGAGAACCTCGCATCTACCTACATGGAAAGTGTGTAGTAAATCAAACTGAGATCACTCTATCATCCTCGAAGGCTGGTTGTACTTGAGTCTCTCATGCGTTCATCATATGATTAGGTGTGGTGCTCGGAACGTCATAGAACAGCAAAAACACTAGTATACAGCAGAGACTAGGCTGCTTGTCACCAGACGAAGCGGACGACCTACTCAAGTTGGTTGGTGGTGGTACGGATTTGGGGGTTGAGCGAAGAGGGCAAGTCTCACGGGGACTTTGGTTGTGTTGTGTCTCGATCAATCGACTCAACAACGCCGCCATGGCTGGCTCCTCGTCACATCACGTGAGTTTGTGAACACAGTACAGTACACTCGTGTTAGCTGCACTGTACTGTACATATTGTACTTTGAACTGTACTTCCTGGCCCTAGAGGTTGTCAGCTCGTCAATTTGAAAAGATTGGTTCGGAACGCAAACCCCAAGGCCATCAGCTGGCTTCCTCGATTTTCTCCCCGCCCCACCTCCTGACAGAACTCCAGTTTGGTTTGCCTGTGATTGTACGGAGCGCCTGTGGGAATTGTGATTTCGGGGGGCAGGATCTGGTGCTGTAACGAGTGAGGGCGGGTGCGTGCGCGACAAAATTTGTACACACCGCCACGGAACCGTTGTTCAGTTCCGAGCCTGCGTGGCCATGGAAGGTGATTGGTTTCCTGCAAACTGACGCTCTGTCACAACAGAAACGGAAAACCGACAACCAGTCAGCCCAAAACAGTAGTGTACCCTGATCGTGTTGCCTATATCAAACCACCGTACATTCATTACTACCTCCTCTAAAGAATAAAGCTTAAACGGCAACCATGGCCGCCCCTAGCCTTTTTAGTTCCAGTGTAAGGAAAATTCCTTTTCCTTACTTCGCGTCCCTGCTCAGCACGTACACCACTGTTCCCGCCAACAGCACCCAACAGTAGTGTACTCTTGTGATCGCACCCACCTTCGCTTCCTCACTATCTCAAATTTTGGAGGGGGTAGATGTCTCTCAGCGTTCAGGCATGCCGCTCGAAGTGCTCTCTCGGAAGCACGCACGGCCACGATTGAGGCTCTCGCTGCCCGACACCCCCGCCATGGCCGACCTCACTCTCGCAGCATTGACGCAGGAGCAACTCGACCGGCTCATCCGTCAACTCGACGATTCGACGCTCGAAATCGCGACACTCACGGCGGAACGTGTCTCCGCCCACCAGCAATCACCGGTGAATGCGCCAGCACCAACACAAGCACCTGCAAACGCACCTGTGCAATCGGAGGAGCCGATTATCATTTCGTCCGGCACACCGTCACAACACGACAGCATGGGACAGCGCTCAGGCGCAGCCAGTGATGGCGCCGCCCAATCAATGCCTGGCATGGAGAGGAACAGGGCCGCACCAAGCACACAGGGGTCTCGCGAAGCCCGTTGGCACGTGGAGTTTGCAGCAACGAGTGGCAACAACGACGTCATCGCACCGATGCCGCTCAAGCCGCAGCGCCCGCCCTGCTTCGATCCTAGCCAACGCGGAGGTCCGACGGTTCAATCGTGGATTTTCACGATGAACGTCTTCTTCGACGCGAACTACGTCAAGTCGGACGCAACAAAGATTCGCTATGCTGTTTCACTGCTGAGGGGCCCCGCCATAGACTGGTGGCGAGTCATCGTGACGTCGCCACGCGCCTACGAGCCGCCGTCGCAATAGGGAGAGCCCACGGATCCAGCCGTCATCTGGAGTTCGTTATGCGAAACCGCCCAATACAGCACGCGGGATGCGTGGTGCGCAGGGCTTCGGGCGCGCTTCGAGCCGACCGCGGCTTCTATTTCGGCGCGTCAGAGACTGCGTACTTGGCGACAACTTGGGTCGGTCCAAGACTACATGAGCGGTTTTCTCGCACTATGCGAGCAAGTCGGCTACATGCACGAGGCCGAGCGGGTGGACCGTTACGTCGGAGGGCTGAAGCCGGACATATCGCACGAAATCATGCTGCGCGGGCTATCGAATTTTAACGAAATCCGAGCGCTCGCCGAGAAAATCAACATTTTGCGCCGTCCGAGACTGGGGTCCTATTACGGACATCGCCCTCGGGGACCGACCGAGCACGCTGTCAAACTATTATTATGTTTAGGTTGTGTAGGCTGTAGTGGGGTAGCCCATAAGGGGTACAACCCATTAGGGTTAGTACTTGTACCACCTTTCTTCTCAATGCATTTATCCTCGTTCAGTTTCTTGACATGGTTTCAGAGCAGGTCATGTTCCTGGACCGTTTTTTTTAGGGCCCCCCGATTCGTTAGCTGCCCGTAGCGCCCTGCCCTGCCAGTTGCGCCACCCTGCCCTAGCCGTGCGCTACCCCGTCCTTTTCAGCCCGCGCGCCACCCTGCTGGCCGCCGCCCTGCCCTGCCCTACCCGCATGCCGCCCTGCTGGCCGCCGCCCTGCCCTGCCCTGCCCGCGCGCCGCCCTGCTGGTCGCGCGCCGCCCTTTCCAGCGCTTGCGCGCTGCCCTTCCCGTCGCGCCGTCCTTGCTTGCGTGGTGCCCTACTGCTCGTGCGCCACCCTGCTCTGCCTGATATGGCTACTCTCAGCATCCCCACATTCGATCCTGAGGGCCGTCCGATCCAGTTCGATACGTGGCTCGATGACCTACATCTGTACCTACTGAGCGATCCTAGAGATGGCGTTTCGTTGTTTGACCTCACGTTTGGAGCCCCTCTCGCCCCTCCCGACACAGCTGATAGTGCGACTCGCTCAAAGTGGCTTACCCGTGACGCTGCTGCTCGCCTAGCCATTTGCAACCACTTACCGTTAGCCGAACGCGCTCACTTTGGCCAGCACAAGACTGCTAAAGCCCCGTACGATGCTGTAGTCGCTCGTTACTCCTCCCCTGATACTGCTGCTCTCGACCGCCTTATACTGCCCTACCTTTTTCCCGAGCTGTCAGCCTTTGCCATAGTCGACGACCTCATCACCCACCTTCGCTCTAGCGACACTCGCTACCGCGCCGCGCTTCCCACCAAGTTTCTAGACAAAACTGCGGGAAGCACCTGAGTCAAGTGTGAAGGTGTGCAAGGCCTCAGCAGGCGCAGTACCAGGGAGAGCATACTCACTAGCACCTAGAGCAGCAGCCTCTATACCTGGGTCGGGCGGCACACACAGGTAACAGTCACCCTCAGCACTAACAGTCAAAGCGTACACGTCAGCAAGGATAGCGTCATAGTCAAGAGCAAAGATATCCACACCCTGCCTAAGCAGCTCTAGCCAGCAGGGGAGCTGAGTCGCGTCGGGAAGATCTGCGCACCAGGCGTCGTCCAGATAGGAGAAGCAGCGGGACTGTGTGAGACCGACCTTCCCGCATGTCTGACCAGCGTGGTCACCTGTGCGAATGACGTACTGGCAGCGAACACTATCCCCAGACGCCCCACGCTGAGCAAACCACTCACGAAGCTCCTGGGGCGTAGGGGTCTCACACGGACGCTGCTGCTGCTGCTGCCTCTGACCACCGCTAGAACCTCCCCTCTGACCGGTTCCACCCCGACCGCCACCACTGCCGCCGCCACCACTCCCACTGCCGCCACCACTACCGCCGCCACCACTCCCACTGCCGCCACCAACGCCTCCACTCCCACCACCACTCCCTCCACCACCACCGCCACCTCCACGGCCTCCACCGCCCCCACCACCGCCTCCACCGCTGCCATCCCCACTACCCTTGCTTCCCTTGCCCTTGCCGATGCAGTGCCTCCCACTAGGAGCAGGCGCAGCCCCGACCTCCTCAGCACGAAGGAAGTCAACAACAGCAGCAGAAGAAAAAGAGGGGGCAAGGGGAGAGGGAGAACACCCCTCAAAGAAGGGAGTGCGAGGAGTGCCACGAGCAGCACGTACAGCGACTATGCCAGCCTCAGCTGCAAGGAGGTGCTTCTCGAGCAGGTCGACGGTGAGGTCCGTAGCGTCCATGGCAAGAAAGACGTCCCTGACTAAGCTAAGAGAGTCAGGGAGGCGGGTGACGATGAAGTAGAGAGTGATGTACATGGGGGGAGGGTTCTCATCTAGAAACTTGGTGGGAAGCGCGGCGTGGTAGCGAGTGTCGCTAGTGCAAAGGTGGGTGACGAGGTCGTCGACTGTGGCGAAGGCGGACAGCTCGGGAAAAAGGTAGGGCAGTATAAGGCGGTCGAGAGTAGCAGTGGCAGGGGAGGAGTAACGAGCGACTACAGCGTCGTACAGGGCCTTAGCAATCTTGTGCTGGCCAAAGTGAGCGCATTCGGCTAACGGTAAGTGGTTGCGAATGGCTGGGCGAGCAGCAGCGTCACGGGTAAGCCACTTTGAGCGAGTCGCACTATCAGCTGTGTCGGGAGGGGCGAGAGAGGCTCCAAACGTGAGGTCAAACAACGAAACGCCGTCTCTAGAATCGCTTAGTAGTACAGCTGTAAGTCATCGAGCCACGTATCGCACTGGATCGGACGGCCCTTAGGATCGAATGTGAGGACGCTGAGAGTAGCCATAGCGGGCAGAGTAGGGTGGCGCACGAGCAGTAGGGCAGCACGCAAGCAAAGACGGTGCGACGGGTAGGGCGGCACACAAGCGCTAGAAAGGGCGGCGCGCGACCAGCGGGGAGGTGCGCGGGCAGGGCAGGGCAAGGCGGCGGCCAGCAGGGAGGCACGTGAGCGGAGCAGGGCAGGGCGGCGGACAGCAGGGCGGCGCACGAGCAGGGCAGGGTAGGGCGGCGGCCAGCAAGGCGGCGGGCGGCGCATGGCTAGGGCAGGGCAGGGCGCTACGGGCAGCTAACGAATCGGTGGGCCCTAAAAAAAACAGTCATGGAACAGGACCTGCTCTGAAACCATGTGAAGAAACTGAACGAGGATGAATGCATTGAGAAGAAAGGTGGTACAAGT